ACGGATCAAGGAATATCATGGTAAATCTGATCCTGTAGAAAAGGCTCATGATTTCAGTAACGTAGAAGAATCATGGAGCAATGTTGATCTAGTTGCGTATACAAGTACTCTAAAAATAGGCGTTTCATGTACTAATCTAAAGTTTGAGCGAGCATTCTGCCTCTTCAATAGCTATATAGAAACAAATACCGGAACGAATCAGATGTTATTCCATATGCGATGCATTAAAGATTATATATGCCACATCGAACAAAGATCATCTAACGTCCCCATTACAGAAAAGGGGTTATTTCAGTAGTTGTTGAATGCTAAACGCGAATGTCCCTGAGAACTTCAAAATAGAGGAATATTTCCAGATATAGATTCTATCATCTGGAATAAAGACGTACCAACTGTTCGATTATGGGTAGCTTATATGTTGGAGAAATTTCGTTCCTGGCGACTATTTGGTTGGAGAATGGTCGATTTTCTCAGAGAGGCAGGTATGATAATTTCCACCATAGAATCTATTCCTAAACCTGGTGAAAATGATACATCATTATCTCAAGTTGTGAAGGTGAATTCTGCTACCGTTAAAGCAGAGGAGATATCAGAAATAACTAATGCTATTATCTTCGATCATGAGACTGCTGAATTATTGAAAAATAAGCCAAGAAAGACTTTGGAAGAAATGAACTCTTTAGACCAGCACCATATTGTGAAATGCTATCAGATTCCACCCGAATTACTAACCGAAGATTTCATTTCGGAGTATGGGAATTATAATCATATAAAATGGTTCAGAGCTTATAGACAAGTGCGAGATGCCGGTACTGACAATGAAATGGCCGTTGAAGCTATCACTCGTAAAGATTACAGAGAAGATAGGCTTACAACTACCACTCGAGCTGAGAGACATCGTATCTGTCTGGAATTACTAAGAATTTGTACACCAGCTAAAGATATCGATGATAGATCAAGATATAAAGCTGATGATGTCAAAAAGTGCTTGAACACTCCTGAGTCGATATCATATCTCCAGGATTTAGCTCCTAGAATGGCTCGAGTATTCGATAATACAGATGCATTACGTAGAGCTAAAAAATCAGGATTAAAAACAGATTGAGCGAAACTCGGTTTACTGAATTCAGCGCTATATACAACATATGAATTGAAAATTAAGGCTATAGACAAACATAGTAGACATTACCATCTAGTTGGATTATTCGATAATAATAACGTTCCTACCTTACCTCCATACCAAACAGGAAAAGAAATTTATTGGGAAAATGGGAAAGATACTTGGTATGGGTATAGTAAACTCTCACCCAATGAAATATTAATGGACAATCTTTTGGAGAATAAACAAACCAAAGATATCCCCAGTTCTAAAGTGAAAACTATACCAATTACGGAAGATATTCAAGATTTATTTGATATTGTATAGGTAAAACCGTTATAAAGCAGTATAAATACATTACTGGAGCTTACAGAATCTGGTCATATATACTTTAAGATGGGGGCTTCTGCCAATATTTATATAATAGATTACGCAGAAGCCCCATTCCAGAAATATGCCTTTATATATTAAAAAATAACGCTATTCGACTTAATGATATAAATAAAATAATATTTTTTTGCTCACTGCTCGGCAGATGATTCAGAGGTCTTCATAAGTTGAAAGCCCTCAACCCTATACTTC